GCATTTTGGATAAACGGTAATCATTAATTGGAGAAATGTCCCATTTTCACTAGGGCTTAACTTTTCCAACCATGTACATCACCCAAGCACCTCATCATGTTTGCAATTGCAGTGAAATTGAACTGCAATTTTGTGGAAATACCAAGCGTTTCTGCTGTTGCTGTTAGTACTGCTGTTACTGCTATTGTTTCTGCTACTCCCTTTTGCGAGTGTATTTCTGTTTCTTTAGGCCATCTAATCGAAATGATGCCTTGCGTAGAGAAGTGTTGTGGGGCTCAATGTCTCCAACAGGCAGGGGTGGCGCCAGCGGGGGAAGCTCCCCCCCCCCCGTCGGGGAGAAAAAGCACAATTCGTCGGGGAGAAAAAAAATGAAATGTATTTTCTACATAATTAGCAGACTCTAAAATCGATTAAATAAGCCTTCGAAACCCCTAAATTGTCAAAATTTTCGGGGGCTTCGCCCACTGGACCACTCTCGCAACCTTTCAATCGAAGCTCGACCATGCCCACTTTGCTTTCGTCGGGGAAATCTGACCCCTCGTTGGGGGCATCGTCCCCCTTCCCCCACCCCCGTCGGGGGCCTCGACCCCCTTGTCGGGCAAATCTTGGCGCCACCCCTGCCAACAGGGATTCAGTGACATTAGCAGGTTCGCATGGTAAATGTATGCTTCTGGTAGTTTGGAAAATATCGAACACAATTTTAGCAGGGAGTGGTTTTAGCACATGCTTGATCAGATTATTATGTTCCGCCAAGTCTATGATTTTGGCTTATGCATATTTTTAATGTTCAAGAACTACTGGCCGAGACAGCCGGCATTTTGGATAAACGGTAATCATTAATTGGAGAAATGTCCCATTTTCACTAGGGCTTAACTTTTCCAACCATGTACATCACCCAAGCACCTCATCATGTTTGCAATTGCAGTGAAATTGAACTGCAATTTTGTGGAAATACCAAGCGTTTCTGCTGTTGCTGTTAGTACTGCTGTTACTGCTATTGTTTCTGCTACTCCCTTTTGCGAGTGTATTTCTGTTTCTTTAGGCCATCTAATCGAAATGATGCCTTGCATAGAGAAGTGTTGTGGGGCTCAATGTCTCCAACAGGCAGGGGTGGCGCCAGCGGGGGAAGCTCCCCCCCCCCCGTCGGGGAGAAAAAGCACAATTCGTCGGGGAGAAAAAAAATGAAATGTATTTTCTACATAATTAGTAGACTCTAAAATCGATTAAATAAGCCTTTGAAACCCCTAAATTGTCAAAATTTTCGGGGGCTTCGCCCACTGGACCACTCTCGCAACCTTTCAATCGAAGCTCGACCATGCCCACTTTGCTTTCGTCGGGGAAATCTGACCCCTCGTGGTCGAGGCCCCTTCCCCCACCCCCGTCGGGGGCCTCGACCCCCTTGTCGGGCAAATCTTGGCGCCACCCCTGCCAACAGGGATTCTTAAGTTCCCGACGAGGCATCCAAATCCCATGAAAGGATTGGAGCAAATTTCAGGAAACCAGACTTATTATATCTGATTTGCGGATTTTTTCTATATGAATATTGTAATCTTATTAAGGGTCGCATCTAGATGTGAAATCCTGATATGAAATTTCGGTTAAAATCATTGCTTCAATCACAAAAAAAAACCATCGCCACAGGCTTCCCCCATCAAATCATAACAACAGAAACTTCAGACATATTTCACTCATCACCTCACAACGTTGCCGTAACAAAAGATACCAGATTTCACCAATCCCACACATTACCAGGCTGCGGGGCTCGATTGCCAAATTGTTGGTTGTTACATAATGGGCATTTTTTTTAAATTAAAATTTTGATGTAATTTTTAAATACTCATTTTTGATTTGTAAATACATATATTAATGTTCTAGTGCAATTTCATAATTTTTAAAATTTTTGATTTTGTAAATGCAATAATTTTAGACTTTGGCTACTTTTTGTAGTCTTTTATACTAGAATAAATAAAAATAAAAAATATAAATGGTTCTTTATTATACAATATCCATAAATCATTTGTGGAAATCCTATAATAAAGAACCCTTTGATACCCCATAGGCCTAATAGACTACGGTATCGTTAACCAAGCCTTAGGCATTATGTCGGTGCTTACCCTACATATATATATGGTCATGAAGTGATGTCGTCATGATTATACCTAGGCACATGTTACATTTTTTTTGGTCAAAAATTTGGTAGCCCGCACCGCGCTTTATAATATAGCGCTCCTAGTATACCGTCTTTGTTTTGATAGTAAACGTATTTTCAAATTTCATGAGACAAATAAATATTAATCAAACAATAGAAATAAGAAGACATAGCATACGGTAACTTTCATCTTTATTATTTCATTTCATTTGCATTTTGCATTTTATACACCTGTACACTTATTGTTTTCTACAGAGTATAGAGAATTTTTGTATTTTGCGCTTTATAAATCTAAAACCATTAAACCATTATATGTTTAGAATAAGGAAGTATTACAGGTATTAGTTTATTGCACATATACGAACTTTCGCTATCTAGGTCAACAAATGTTGATAGGGATTGAGAAATAAACACGTCAACTGTATTTGTTTGCAGATGCAGATATACCTGTATGAGGCCTGCAACAGGGTGCAGGCCTATAGCACCTTGTCAATGACTACAAAATGGAAGCCAGGGCCATACAAGAAATTAAAATAAATATTAGGGTACAATAATAATAATATTAATAATAATATTAATAATAATGATAGTAATAATATAATATAATAATGATAATGATGATGATTATGATAATGATAATTATGATAATAAGGCCTAATAATAATGATAATGATAATAATATATAAATAATAACCATAACAATAATTATAATAGGCCTATATAGTTCTATATAAGGCAATACTACAAGTTATCTGCATGTAACATAAACAATGCTTTTCTATAATCTGACAGGCCTAAGCCAATATGTATATGATTATATACAACTGTTATACTATAATAGTATATTTTTGTCATCTATATACACATATATACATATATATATACATGTATACATATATATATATACATATATACTTATATATACACATATGCTATATATACATATATATATATATATATATAT